GATTTTCAAGTAAAGCTGAATTGGCAATGTTGAATCATTGGAACTTTGAGAAAGGAGGTAACAGGATGAAAACAATGCTTTAATCTGCCAGAGATATATCATAATAGTTGCTGAAGTCAGAAAAACTAGTTTAAAAGTCAAGCAAAATATAGGGGTGAGATAATGAGGTGATGCAGGTCTGATCTAGGTAGTAGAAGTGGCCGTGGTGAAAGAGAAGAATGAGTAAGAGCTGTAAAAAGGAAAAAACTTTACAGACTCAGTGATTCATTCACTATGCATTTATTGAATGTTTACCCTTTGTAAGCATCTATACAGGTTGCTTTGGGTGAATCAAAGGTAAATAAGAAGGGTATAACAGTGGGAGTCATTAATTGCTAAGGAAGTAGTTGAAGCAATTGATGCAATAGTTGAAGTAGTTGGTACAGTCTTTAAGGAAGAATGTTTTGAAGGAGAAACAGGGTCAAGAGTTGTGCTTTGGGGAATAGTCATAGTTGGATACTTAAAATGCAGAAAATGAATGAGAAGGGAAACATTAAGAAAAACAAGCGAATTGTGCACAGTGGAAATCATGTTAGGTAGAGGTTCACAATGCGCAATTAGCTAGCAATATCAGTTTCAGGAGGGAGCACCTAGACAATGAGGATAAAGACAGATTTAACTGTGAGAACATATTTGGTAACCTTTGAGAATGAGATATAGTAGAATAATGGGGAAGAAAATAGACTGCAAAAGAGAGTGAATTTCTAGACAACTTTTTGGCATATCAGTGACCAGAGGTTGGTAGGTGGTCTTAATTGTGGTTCATGAACATCATCTACCAACTTCCTGTCACTGAATCTGGAACATAAGTCATAATCATCTCTCTAATCCTATGTGACTTTAGCATCTATATGGATAATCTCTTTGTCATCTAGTCTTTCATCAGTACAAAGTTCTTTTTCTCCGGTGATCTTAGTCTCCATTCTGTCACTATCCATCCACTTCTGTAGTTCTTGTTGTCAGATGCAATTGCTGCATTTATGAAATTCTTGATTCAGCCATTCTCTTTTCTAAACACCAATTGTAGTATTTCTAGCTTACTTGTTTAAAAACCCCACTTTGACTATTTTTTAACTTTATCTGGCCCTCCAGTCCAATAATCACTTTATTTTCTGCTTATACTTTTGCCTTTTTTGTTCTCATTTTCTTCTCCTGTTTAGATTTTATATTTCATCATTTTAATAATTTTTACCAATATCCTAAACTCTTTTGTTCCTCTTTGATTTTTTTGCACCATTCTTCTGAAGCCACTCCAACCCTGGATAAACTCAGGGATTTACTTTTACTTTGCTTATACCCAGTGAAACAAGGAAAATCTCACAAAAGCACAGATTGGTCTCACTATAAATTCATAATAACTACCTATATCGTTGGGCCATCAGCGTTGTCTGATGACTAATATTTTCTGAAGTCAACTTATTCTCTCTCAGACTGTTTCAAATCTTTTTGATTCTCCTCAAATCTCCATTTTTGCTCCTATTCTTAGCAGATGATGTTATGTCCTTTTCACAGGAAAATTAAAGCCATTAGAATTACCTCAAACTTCTGACATCAAAACTATAAACTGCAAATGTGGCTAACCTGTTCTTTCAGTGCCAATGGAAGAAGATACTTCTCCGCCTCTCTTTAAGGTTCAATTCCTTTACCTGTCTGCTGGTTCCCATTCCGTATATCTCCTTATCAAATCTTACACTTAATTAGCCCTCTTTATCCTCTTCCTCTTGATAACTCATATGAGCATTAATATATGCTCTGGTTTATCTAACCTTAAGAAAAGACAGATCCCTTCTTGACCCCATTTAGCCTCCATCTACTTGCCAATCTTTATCTTCCCTTTTGCAGTCAAAGTTCATAAGAGTCGGCCATACCTTCTATCTTAATATCCTTTCTTCATGTCAATTCCTCTGCAACTTTTTTTCTCCACCAAACTGTTTTTTTTAAAGCCATCAGTGACCCTCATGCAAGTTTACATTTTAATCTACATCCTACTTGGCCTGTCAGAAACTTTTAAAATAGACTTGCCCATTTTCTTGAAACTCTTCTTCCTTTGGCTTCCATTGCATCAAAATCTCTTGGATTTCTTTCTGTTGCTCAAAGAAAATGGGAAGCTGCTGAAATATTTTAAGCAGGGAGGGGTCAGTTTTAATGTAATGAAAGCTTTTAAAGGGAGAGGATGTGGCTGAAGAAGAGACCAGTTATGAAGCTACTATAATAGTCCAAGGCAGAGATACTGTTTCCTTGAATTAAAATGGGGAGATAGTTTGGAAAGAATTGAAAAGATAAAATCGAGAAATTTAGGAGTTAATACCAACAGGATTTTGTAATAGCTTAAATGTAGATGATTAGAAAGCAGGAAATTGCTTGTTCTGATTTAGGCATCTAAGATGGATGATATGCTATTTATCATACAGAAAGAAAAAAAAAACTGGAAAAGGCCATGTTGAGTTTTAAGTGCATTTGAGTTTCAGAATGGAAATGTCATGAGTTAAGTTGGATATATATATAAGCCTGAATCTCAAAAGAGCTAAGATGCAAATCTTAATTGTTGATGTATAAATGGTAATTTAATTGAAGTTATGCACATAAAAGAAATAATTGGGAAAAGCTTAAGAGTAGGAAGAGAATTCAGTCTAAGCTTTGGTGAATTCCAACATTTGAAGGTTGATTCAGGTAGGATGAGTTGACAAGACCAAGGAATCATTACGGAAGTAGGAGAATATCCTATCTAGGAAGCCTTGGGAAGAGAATGTTCTAAGAAAAAGAGCAGGAATTTTTGAGCTTGAGTATCCTTTTGAGTATCTCATCCAAATATAGTGTATCATTTATCTCACTTAATGATAATTGCCTGTTTATATGTCCATATAGTCAACAGTTTAAGTTCTTTTGGGGATTGTGGGTTGAACTAGCTTGGAGAAAAGCAAATATTTTCTGTAAAGGGCCAGATAATAAATATTTCAGGCTGTGTGGGTCATATGATCATTTCTGGTGTAACTACTCAACTCTGCCATTGTAGCATGAGAGCAGCCATATACAGTACATTAAAGATGAGTGTGACTATGTACTAATAAAACTTTATTTATGGATGCTGATATTTGAATCTCATAATTTTCACAGATAACAAAATACTATCCTTGTGACTTTTAAAAACCATTTAAAATAGGAAAAACATTCTTAGCTTGTGGGCTACACAAAAACAGGGAGGGAGCAGAATTTGGCCAACTGCTGTAAGTTACTGATCCTTTTACCACAATTGAGCCTGGTGCCTGAACCGTAACAGACACTCAAGTAAATTTTTGTTGAATAAATAAAAGTTGAATAAGTTCAGGTCTTTTCTATGTTTTTTGGGGGGTGGGGAGGTAATTAAGGTAGGTTTTCTTTTAAGTTCTGAAAGCAAGAATTCATACGTTTATGTTCCTGCATCTCTTTAGAGATTAACTTTTAATTTGCTAAAAGTAAATTTAACATTTTGAAGCACTATCAAGTGGCCAGAAAATGGTTTTAAATATTTAAAAGGATATAATTATATTATTTTGGGTTGCAGAAAAGAAAAACTGGGTTCCAGGGCTTCCTAGAATGCATAGAATTTTTGGCTTTGATTTTTATTAATATGTAGGTTTAAAAACACCTGTGGGCAGTAAAATACACCTTTGCATCGAGAATTCTAATCATTATTATTATTATTTCTCTTGAATTTTTGTTTTCATTTGATCTTAGTCATATAAGGTCATACTGTTGGTAGGACATGAACTCTGCATTTATGTTGCTAGGATTTAGCATGAGAGACAGTCTATAAGCAAGTGAACAAATAGATTAATATATATTGACAACTTGTGTACCATGAAGAAAATGAACAGGTGTAATATTATACACTAATTTTGAAAGATGGGCAAAGATAGTTAAAATGGTCAGAGAATGTATCTCTTGGTTAGTATGACTTATGCTGAGACTTGAGTTAGATGGATGGGAGAGGAGAGGAGTATCTAGGTAGAGAGAGCATGTGTGATTGCTCTGAGTTCCATGAGAACTTGGTATTTTCCAGGAACTGAAAGGTGGTTTTAGGCATAAGTAACTTAAGGTATCTGCATTGAAGAAATCTACAAATAATTGCTTACATAACAGAGATTGGTATGTTTTGGATTTTTAAAAATCAGACAGTCTGTACTAAGATATAGCTCATAAGTATCAGGATCAAAATTGGCTAGGTTAAAAAAATGTCCCGTGTGTTCCACTTTCATTGGAAACCATTTAGCTGAAATGACGTTGCTGTTATGTATACGGATTGACAGGCAGTTGGAACTAATGTGAATAATTCCCATACCAAGGGCTATTTAGCACCAAACTTCAGATGTACTGAAATAAGTCAAGGAAGGAAATGGTTCCTACATGAGTAACTCCATTTAGTCTCTGAAAATGTGGCACACTAAGGTATCACCATAAGAGATGCCTTAAGCAAAAGAAGGATGGCTGACAGTAGGACTTGCGAGTCATTGTCAGTGGGAAGAGCACAGCAGATTGGAAAGGGGGTAGAAAAGAGTGAGGGAAATAGAATAAGCATAAATGGAGGTGAAATGAGAATCCTGGGCAAATCAGAGTGAAGAAGGAGGACAACAGGAAAGAATTCAAGTAAAAAAAAGAAGGGAGGATGCTAATAGTTTAAGAGGAAAATATTCTAATAGGCATAACTTTATACAGGGTAAAACCTTAGAAAAGTCTAATTTAGCCATTGCCTAATCATATGAGAAATTCTAAATCAAAGCTGATCATACCTTTGATTATCTCTTCTACTTCAAGTCTTTGTTTTGCAATATTTCACTTTGAAAACTCGAAGTGACAAATTATATACTTTTACCATATTTTATAAATTTTTATCTTTTTAAAATAATATTTGCAAATATTTGTTTTTAAATAAAATGTATATACCGTCTAGTATGTTGTATTGATTTACTCAATGTTCTTTTAAGTGTTTCAGGCTGCATGTACCAAGTAGTTCAGACGATTGGCTCGGATGGAAAAAATCTTCTGCAATTACTTCCAATTCCTAATTCTTCTGGAAATCTTATACCGCTAGTTCAATCTTCAGTCATGTCTGATGCTTTGAAAGGGAATACAGGAAGCCCAGTTCAAGTTACTTTTCAGACTCAGATTTCCAGCTCTTCCACAAGCGCATCAGTTCAATTGCCCATTTTTCAGCCAGCCAGTTCTTCAAACTATTTTCTTACAAGAACAGTAGATACAGCAGAAAAAGTTAGAGTTACTTCTGTGGGAACTGAACATTTTACCTCATCAGTTTCTAAAGTTCAGAGTCATGGTGTGAAAATTGATGGACTCACCATGCAAACATTTGCTGTTTCTCCCTCCTCAACACAAAATGATTCACCTTATATTTTAGTAAATACTCAGAGTCTTCCAATGACTGTGAAGTCTCCAGTTTTGCCTTCTGGGCATCACTTACAGATTCCTGCCCATGCTGAAGTGAAATCTGTACCAGCGTCTTCATTGCCTCCTTCAGTTCAGCAAAAGATACTTGCAACTGCAACCACAAGTACCTCAGGAACAGTTGAGGCCTCCCAAATACCAACCGTTATTTACGTATCTCCTGTAAATACAGTGAAAAATGTAGTTACCAAGAACTTTCAAAACATTTACCCAAAACCTGTTACAGAAATAGCAAAGCCAGTGATACTAAATACCACACAAATTCCAATGAATGTTGCTAAAGAGACACAATTAAAAGGTGGTCAGCATTCTCAAGCTGCTCCTGTGAAATGGATTTTTCAAGAAAATCTACAGCCTTGCACTCCATCTCTTGTTCCTGTTAAGTCTTCAAATAATGTGGCTTCAAAGATTTTAAAAACTTTTGTAGATAGGAAAAGTTTGGGAGATAATACTATAAATATGCCATCATTGAGTACTGTCAGTCCTAGTGGGACACAATCCAAAAGTATGCCTATTAAAGATAATGCCTTGGTTATGTTTAATGGGAAAGTCTATCTATTGGCTAAAAAGGGGACAGATGTTTTGCCATCACAAATTGACCAACAGAATTCTGTTTCTCCTGATATTCCACCAAGAAAAGATACATCACAAATAGTGAGTTCAAGTCCAGTCACAGAAATATCCAGAGAGGTTGTAAATATTGTTTTGGCTAAAAGTAAATCTTACCAGATGGAGACAAAATCACTTTCAAATACTCAGCCTGCTTCCATGATCAATCTAAGGGCAGAGAAGAATAAAAAAGTGGAGAAACCATCTCTTTCTACCCCAAACCCACATAATATGAATCAATCCATTAACTACTTAAAACAGAGTAAGACTCCATTCACAAAGCCAGACTTTCCAGATGGATTTAGTGCAGTACAAAATGCCCCCAGAAAAGGAAATATCATCCAGAGCATAGAGAAAATAAGTTCCTCTGTTGATGCAACAACTTTTACTTCACAACAGTGTGTTTTCAGAGACCAAGAACCAAAGGTAATTTTCCCATGTCAGGGTGTTCTTTTTATCTATCTATATAGAAAATTTTTCTTTCTTAATTCTCAAAGTTAGTTACCTATGATACCTCTTCCCCGCTCCTTTCCCATCCTCCACTCCATCACACAAATACCATACACACATGAATGCTGAATTAAGTCAAAGCTTTCATCTGAAGGAAATGTTTGAGGAGGATAATAGAGTCTTTCTCTTAAATCATTTGGCATGCCAAATCTTTAAAACAAAATCAAACAAAAAACTCAGCAACAAGGTTTAGAAGAGTTGGTGAAAGATAATGTGAATTCACAGTTTGGTAAAATTCTGTATGTGTATATATATACATGTATACACATATATATACATATGTACATACATATATTTACTAGATTAATGTTAGTATATGGAAAGATCAATATGCATCTAGGAGAGCTGGGTTTTTTGTTTGTTTTGTGATGGTAGGGAAATACTGGCAATTTTTTTTAGGTAGATGGTAGAAGGGGTAGAATGGGGCTGATCAGTACCTTTCAGTAGTTTGTGGAAATAGAATTTATCAACATCTTTTTTTTTTTTTTTAGTAGACAAGTTTCCCTTTTTTTTAAAACCCTTTCTGACTCTTCAGTTATTCAGCATATCCACATAGTTACCTTTCTGTTCTACTTAAGATATGTGTGTCTGTGTTTGTGCCCACTCTTTCCTTATGTAGAGATCTACTTAATAATGTCAGTGTTTCTCCCCTTCAGTACGGAATTCATTGAATTCTAGATATGTAAGGTGGTAAATCCTGAAGTATAAGATTGATTAAAGGCATAAGACTTTTCCAGAAGACTACAATTTCCAACTAATGTTTTATAGATTATTTTTAACTTGTCATTAGTCTGTATTCTTATTTCAGTTTGAGAATCAACTATCTGTTAACCTTTCCAGTGCAAGAAAGCAAAATGAGAAATTTTAAAGGAACAGTTTTAAGTTTGTACTCAGTTAAATTCATTTTTTCAAGTGTGGGTGGTAAGGCAAGGGTAATGCAAACCAACCATTTAGGGCTTCAGAGCATGATGTTTTAAGTAAGATGAGATGAACACTTAGTTGCTAGTCTGATAAAATAGCTTAAGTAATTAGCAGTATTGTTTGTGTGTTTTGTTTTCCTAATTCCAGATCCAGAATGAGATGGCATCAACATTAGAAAAAGTTACTCAAGAAAGAAATGATAAGAACCATTCCAAAGGAGGAAGCAATAAGGCATCATATCTGAAGAATGATGCAGAATTTAAAAAGATATTTGGTCTCACTAAAGATTTGAGAGTGTGCCTTACTCGGATTCCTGATCATTTGGGCTCTGGAGAAGGTTTTGATTCCTTTAGCAGTTTGGTGAAGAGTGATACTTATAAAGAGACTGAGTTGATAGTGAAGGAAGAAAAGAAAAAACAGGTAATAGATTTTTGGTGTCCTTTGTAGTTACTCCAAAGGTTCATGAATGCATTTTCTTGATTTGTTTTTTTTAGTCTGTACATTAATATGAATGATAGTTATCAAATTTGCATATTTGTATATATTATACCAAATCATTGTTAAAGAGAACCATATATACAAAGGTAAAAATACATCCCCAGTTAAAGTTGTTGTATTGTTTCTATTCACCTGTTTATTTTTTTCATCAAAAAATTATAAGACAATGCCCATAACTTTTTAAACTACTTATCCTACTTTGAAGACCCTATCTAAGATAATCCAGCATGATCCGATGAGCACTGGGTGTTAAACACAACTAATGAATAATTGAACACTACATCAAAAACTAATGATGTACTATATGTTGGCTAATTGAACGTAAAAAAATTAATAAAATTAAATAAATAATCCAGATGTAGGGAAAATATAAGCATGTAGATGTTCATTGCAGTATTACCCTTAATACAAACATTTTAAGAACTCTACTTGGTCGATAATGATGAAAAATCCCTATAACTTTGCCTATTGGTATTCTACTTAGAAATATATCATTATACTGCTTAATATCCTGAACTTTAGATCAGACACCAGTGAACCTTTCCCAATGAAAATCTTCCATATGTGCTTACTGTGGGAAAGAAAGCACAAAATTAAGTCAATTATTTTTCTCAAGTTCTTTACAAATGGCTGTTATATTTTGGTGGTAGATCAATACATCTAATACTTAAGCTAGAAAATGTGAATTAAGCAATTTCTTCTCTGTGAATATCATTAGGACATTGCTATTCATTTTTGTACTGTACAGTGCTAAACAATTTTTTGCTGTAGTTCTCAGTATATTTTGTTGAGTTGAATTTAGTAAGTATCTGTTACCTGCAGGATCCTGTTAAATTTGAGAGCACACTGTCTATGTGGCAATAATTTATTTTTCTTTTGGAATCTTACTCAACATAACAACAGGGTTTTGATAAGAAAAGAAAAGCAAAAACCGTTAAGAAGATGGATCACACAAAGAAGAGAAAAACTGAGAGTGTTTATAACACAGCTATAAATGGAGGAACTAATGTCAACAATTCCCAACTCGTCAACAGTATTTTACCAACTTCAGATGTATCATGCCATAACATTCTCACAAGCCGCAACAAAACCAGAGAAGAAAAGAGAACTGGGGTTGAACACTATACCCCTGAGAACCAGGAAAAAGGCACATTGAGTTCAAATGCAGCTTTTGAACAAAGTCATTCTTTTAATAAAAATTATACTGAAGATATTTTCCCCATGACGCCACCAGAGTTAGAAGAAACCATTCGAGATGAAAAAATAAGAAGACTTAAGCAGGTGCTGAGAGAGAAAGAAGCAGCTCTTGAAGAAATGCGTAAGAAGATGCACCAAAAATAATAAAATGTTGCTATACTTAAAGACTGCAGTGAAATAGCTGTTTTTTTATATACTTTTGCATTAAGTTAATTATAGATGCATTCTGAAAGTGTCTGAATATGAAACTTGTTTTTCCATCAGTTAATGATTAAATTTTCTTTAAGGACTACGAAAAAGGTTGATTTCACACGTGACTTGTGAATAATCTACATGGGGTATCTGAATCTTTGTCTAGATACCTTTTTTTGGAAGGAAAAATTTTCTATTTTTCTATTATTTTAATTAGAATTCCCAAAGTTTGAGTATTTGTGCAAGGTTTTTTTTTTTTTTTTATTGTTTGCATCTTTAGCTGAACTGCTCAGGTGTTATTCCAACAGTAGATAATTATTGTATACTACTGAAATTATACAATGCAAGGGAGGAAGTCAGCTCTAAATTTAGCCTTGCCGATGGGCTTATATATGTACTCAGTCTGTATCCATGATACTGTTGTTGTAAATTTTTATTTCATGAAAAAAAAATGTATTCTAGCAGTATTATTTAAAAATTCAAACATTTCTCAGAGTGAGGGACACTTGTGGCTTTTACAAAGTAGTTTTATATAATCCCAAATGGGTTTTAGAATCCAGGCTATATAATGTATTGGTTGCTTAAAGTGATATGTTATTATTCCTAGGTAAATACTTTTTCTTCTTGATCCTCCTCCTCCTCTTTTTCTTCTCGTACTCCTTCTTTTTTGTAATATGTACATATGTAACTGTGTGAAAAGTAAATCTGAACAATGGCCACATTTAATACTTTTTAAAATTGTAAAATATACCTTTTCTTAGTGGAGGCAAACATTTTTCTGTCTAATTATGTTTGATTCAGAAAGTTTGGGAGTTGTGTGGGGATAGGGATTAATGGGAAGAAGGAAAAGTTTACAAAAAAAAAGAAAAAAGAAAAAAAGACAAATCTCCAGAAGTAAGGTCACATAAAACCTATACACATTGAGAAGGGAGTATAGACCAAATGCAAACTGATCAACTAAATTCTCGTGCCTTTTATTTTTTTCTTGTAATAAGTTTTATTGAGATAATTTACTTACCATGAATTCACCCTTTAAAAGTGTACAATTCAGTGGTTTTTATTCACAGAATTGTGCAACCATTAACATGACCTAATTTTAGGACATTTTCATCACTTCCCAAAGAACCTCATACCCCATTAGCAGTCGCTCCCCAGACCCTCCACCCCCCAGCCCTAGGCAACCATTAATATAGTTTATGTCTCTAGGGACTTGTGGAAATTCATAAGTGGGGCGCCTGGGTGGCTCAGTCATTAAGCGTCTGCCTTTGGCTCAGGTCATGATCCCAGGGTCCTGGGATCGAGCCCTGCATCGGGCTCCCTGCTCGGCGGGAAGCCTGCTTCTC